AGTACAATTATCAAAATCAGGACATTAACACTGATAGAAAATGGAATCTCTAGATCTTTTTTAGATTATACCAGTGGTCCAATAATGTCCTTTTTAGCTTCTTTTCCTCTGGTTCAGGATCTAATCCAGGATCACGCATTGCATTTGGTCATGTCTCTTTAGTCTACTTGATCTGGAAGAAAAGTTACTCAGGCTTTCTTTGTGTTTAATGACCTTAACATTATCAAAGAGTAATAGGAGTAATGTGCATAAAAAATGATGAGGCTATACAGAGAACATATCTTCAGAAAAAGAGAAAAAAGCGTTCACAGTCTCACAGGGAAGGTTTTGCAAGTTAGAGCTTCAGTTTGAGGAATTTGATCCTCAAGGTCTACACAAAGCCTTGCAGACTTCACTGGCTTCTCCAATTTTACCTAAAATATCATAGCTTAGTTATAATAGTTCCCCTTTTGGTGTAGTTATAAATTTGAAAAATAGTTAGGTTTATTTTTTCTGTTTATGTTCAATTTAGTTTTTTCCTCATCTTTTTTTATTTAATTGTATTTTGAGTATGTAAAACATTACTGTGATTCTAAACATCTAAATGATACACAAATGTATATTTAAAGAAACACCACTCTCCCCATCATCTCTTTATCTCCCTCGCCATCCATTCCTTCTCATTAGTAACAAATCTCATTAGTTTCTGGTTATCTTTCCTGGGTTTCTTTTTACAGAAATAAGCAGATGTATAATTACTTCTTTCTTTCTTGCAAAAAAGGTAGCATACTATTTATGTTTGTATTCATTTGCTTGGGCTGTCATAACAAAGTACCACAGACTGGGTGGCTTGAACAGTAGAAATTTATTTCCTCACAGTCCTAGAGGCTAAAGGTCCAAGATCAAGGTGTTGGCAGGTTTGGTTTCTCCTGAGCCCTCTCTTCTTAGCTTGTAGATGACTGCCTTCTCCCTCTGTCCTCACATGGTCCTCCCTCTGTTTGTGTCTATGTCCTAATCTCCTCCTCTTGTAAGAACACCAGTCATTGGATTAGAGCCCACCCTAATGACCTCATTTTAACTTAATCACCTCTTAAAGGCCCTATCTCCAAGTATAGCTACATCTGAGATACTGGGGGTTAGGGCTTCAACAATTGAGTCCATAAAAATACTGTTTCATTTTGCTTTTTTCCCTTAATAATATATTCTGGAAATCACTTTCTGTCAGTTTATGGAGATCATTCTTAATCATTTTTTTTACAACTGAATAATACTCTATTATGTATGTGTACCACGGTTTATTCATCACATTTCCTTCATATGGGCATTTAGGTGGCTTCCAATATAAGTACTTACAGTGCTGCAATGAATAATATTGTGTACATGTATTTTTGTGTTGTTGGGATGTATATTCAGAGTAAATTCTAAGAACTGGGATTGCATGTATAGTTTGTTAGATACTGCCAAATTCCCATTTTTCTCCATTCTTATTATACGTTTATTGGGCCTTATTTTTCCATCTACAATGCCTTTTAATAACGCTTTTACATTTTCTATGTCTTTAAAATCTCTCTGATGCTTTCTGGGTGATTTCCTAGCTCTAACTTCCAAATTAGTAACTCTCTTCAGTTGTGTCTAATTTTATATTTGACTCATCCAGTTGAGTCTTTAATATATAACTGTTTTATATTTGTAGAGTTTCTGTTTGGTTCCAAATCTCTCCCTTTTTTCATTTTGTTCTCTTCTTTCCTAATGGTTTCTTTTTCTTTACTTCTTTAATTATTCCAAACGTACTTATTTTATGATCGCTTTCATATTTAGTGATACCACATCTTGTCATGTCAGTTCTGTCTGTTGCATTTGTGCCTTATTCCCGTCAATGGCTCATCATTTATTGTGATCTCATTTTCAACCCCAGGTTGTAAAAGAATTCCTACAGAGTGGTTTCAGGGAACCATCAGGAGTTCCAGTAGTCCTAGATCAGCTTCAATCTTAATTTCTTGGCTTGGATTTATATACCACAAAGGACTACAAATTTGGGCTTCACACCCAGGTGAAGTGCAAGCCTGGGTTTTTGTTTTGTTTTGTTTTTTAATTGGGGAATTGGGGGAGGGAACAGCGTTGGGGAATTGGGGAAGGGGAACAGACAAGTTGCTGTCCTTTTGTTCTTCAGTCTAGTTGT